GTGCCACAATATGGCGTACATGTCACTATACAGCGATCTCTTTCTGAAAACCTTTGAAGTATAAATAGCTACCTGTATCAGTCCCGTAGAGTGTCCAACAATAATAAATTCCCCATCAGGAGAAAAAACCATACTGCATATGAATCCCATTTCCGATAAAAAATGGACTCTAGACAAGTCCACATTAGGTGTGTATTGGAAAAATCTATTATAATTATCTTTTAACCATTCTTCATCGTATTCAGGTATTATTCCGTCAACGAAAGATATGAAAGGGTTTTTTTCCTGATCCTCATCACGAATCAACTGTTCCTTGATACGTCGCTTGTATTCTTTAACGAATACACATATATCTGATTCACTTTCCGATAAATTGAAACGGCTATGGCTAAACACGCTAAATCTGCCAAAATTCGGTATATTATAAATGCTAGAAGCCATATTTTGGTATTTCACGAAAATTGCACCATATTTTCACAAACCATAGAGTAAGTAAGAAACTACCGTCACAAATGCGTCACAAACTTACTACACTTCAAGAAGAGCCTCAAAGAGTAAACTATATACCTAATTGACATATATTGTATTTCTTCTTTTATTAATGGCTTATCTGCGCGTTTCGCACAATAGGAATGATGACTAATTTTTGTTTGTTTGTCCGTCAGGTAGAGTGTTAAAAAATATTAAACACGTATTTTTTTATTTTTTTCGTAATCATAAAATTACGGCGTTACATTGAGTTGAAATTTCGCATGACGTCACGTTAGGGTACGTTTTCAACTCAACTGTGACGTAGCAAGCCCCCACTCCTCAACTTTTATGCCTGTTATCTAAGCTATTTCTTTTAAATTGAAGTAAAAAAAAAAATATGTATCTAATTTTTTTCTATTATCTGACTGACGGACTAAATAGAATTACATTTTTTTACCCAGTCATCCCTATGTATTCTGCCAATTTCAAGTATCGGGTTGGCACAAAAGTAATGAGACACTTGGTTTAAGTTTTTACTTTTTTATTATTATTACAATAAAAAAAGTTTAGTCAATGATGTAATTACCATTAGTATCTAAGACTTCTTGCCAACGATCCGGCAAAGTTTGGATGCCTTTTGCCCAGATCTCTGATGGCTGTGCCTCGAAAAAGTTGTTCAACTCCGCCTCTACGTCAGAGAAATCATTAAATTGTTTACCCCGCAAATGCTGTTTCAGGGCTCTAAACAAATGATAGTCTGATGGGGCGAGGTCTGGGGAATAAGGTGGGTGGGGTATCGTCTCCCAGCCCAAGTTCTCCAACTGCCGGCGAACCACAGATGCGACGTGAGGTCGAGCGTTATCGTGCAGTAAAACTACATTGACTCGTCTTCGTCGTTTTTTCTTGATAGCGGCAGATAATTTGGTAAGCTGGGTTGAATATTTGTCAGCGTTTATAGTTTCATTGTGTAATAGCTCATAAAACAGTATGCCTTGCGCATCCCAGAAACAGCAAAGCAGAATTTTTCGGCGGTTCTTTTGACTCAGCTTCGGTTGAGTTGGTCGCGTTTCTTCTCGAGGCAGCCAAAAAGCACGACGTGTATCGTTCTCGTAATAAATCCATGATTCATCTCCAGTAACCAGATCTGACAAAAACTCTACGTCGGGGTCGCAGCCAAAGTGACTGACAGATAGCGACACGGACTGCACGACTGGCGTCTGTAAGGATGTGCGGTACCCACCGAGCCAAAACTTTTCGATAACCAAGCTCATGCAGATGGTGTTCCACGGCGTGGTGACTATATTTAAGTGCTTCCGCTAATTCACGAATGGTAGCATCCGGATTCAACTGCAGTTCGCGGCGCAAATCGTCATCATTCACTGCGGGTGGTCGCCCTGAGCGTGGCTGACTTTCAAGGCTCCTGTCTCCTGATTTAAAACGGTCAAACCATCGGGACACCGTCGCATGGCTTGTACTTCCAGCGCCTAATGCATTGTTGATATTGTCAGCCGCAGCCCGCGCACTGTAGCCTAACAAGTACTCGTATAAGTATAGTGTTCGAACTTGTCGCTCGTCCATTTTTCTTCAAACTGACTAAACAAATCGCGAGTGCGGCTTTATATACCCTACAGCAGAAGTACCTAGAATGTTCTACAACATTCTAGAATATTATCGAATAAATTTATTTTAAAAAGGAAATGTTATAGATTTTTCTAGTGTGTCTCATTACTTTTGTGCCAACCCAATAAATAAAATTAATTAATTTCTACATGTAAAATAAAAATGAAATGAATGAAAGACGGCCGACATATACTGTTGTGACCCTCAAAGATATGAAAGTATCACAAATGACAGATGTAGGTACTGCTGCAGTCTTCTCGACTAAGCACCTACGGTGCATCATGTAGTACTATTTCCACAAGATTAGCACCGAAATTTGACTTTTAGCACTTAGTACCAAATCTAGCATAATTTGTTACGAAGCGCAGCGACGCAGTTCTTCTACACATTAATAGATGGTGCATAACACCAATGAATCGTGCAAACACTATTGAAACTGCCTGTGTCATTTATACATCGGGTGGGCGAGAAAGAGATAATCACATAGAAAAATATATCGTTACTGTCACTAAAAACTAAAAAAGAAAAACAAGCCCAGTAGTTTGGAATGTTATCAAGTACTACTGAATGGCTGCTCCATTACAATGAATTTAAAATTTAATCTATATACATTACACACATAAAATAAGTAAATTCAAAAGCAGAAAAGAAGGATCAACAGTCCAGGACCCCTTTTTAACCAATCAATGAAATCCCGCATAATTTGGATTTTTTCACATATATTAGATTAAAATATGAATAAATTATTATTTACTATAGCACGCGCTCAATTGAAATATTGGCATGTAATAAATAACGTGCGTGCTACTAGATTTACTGCCCGTAGCACAAACGTTCATTAAAATTGCCATTAATTTATAGGGTCATTAACAATACAAATTTTCAAATATCGAACGTCAATTAGAGCTTAATGTTGTCATTAAACCTTAATGAACGTTTGTGCAACTGGGTGTTAGTGTACTGCTTCATTTAATGCGTTTTTCGCGCACCCATGAGTTACTTTCAGCAGCATTTCTAACGAATATTTATTCGTTAAGTCGTGTAAAATACCTGAAATAAAGTTTCATCCCTTATTTTATCCCCTTAGGGGTGGAATTTATCAAAATACGTTATAGAAGCTTTATGCATACAAAGTCTCAGCCCGATCGGTTTAAAATTGACTAAGCTTCATACAAACTTTCATCCCCTATTTTTTGTGTAGCACTATTTTTTATAGCAATCTAGCACTTTTTGAGATGACATCTTGTACTTGCCTTACGCATCAAGTTGGCAGCACTGGACAGCAATCAAAAAAGTCGAAACGTTGGGCATATACCTACGTCGGTGAAAAACCTAACTATCAAAATATATCGCGTTAATACCCGTCTTATACAATCTAATATAATGCAACGCGAATATTTAAAAGTTTATAAAAAAACAGAGAGTTGAATAAATCTGTGATTCATGTAAATATCAGCATTTTATTATGTTAGCATTCAGAACATGTCCTAGATCTGTGTTGAATAAATGAATTTGAATAAATAACTCGACAAATTGGAAATAGAAAAGCAGTCCTTGCTGTGTTTTTTGCCGGTTCTTCTCAGCACAAAGTCTCTCAGAGTAGTTTTACGAACCTTTCGACTTTCTCGACTGAACAAATTGAATTTTAATTAATAGGTAATATTAGTTATGTAGCAACAAATTCCAAATGTGAATGAGATAGAGTGAGAGAGAGAGTAAGCAAGAGAACAGTCACCAAAGCCTAAATCTTCTTCTATATATCTGATGTTTAGGGTATGTTCCAATATACACTGCGAGCACTGCGCAGTGGTCTTACTGCTGAAAAATCCGCTCCGTTATGGACTGCCAGTACACTGCTACAGTACCCTAGGGAAATTTATGACGTCATAAATTGCCGCCATATTTGTACTGTGAGCACTGGAGATTTCGAGGTAAGGTGCTCGCAGTGCTTTTGATCACGTGATCAGTCGAAACAGAATCAGAAAATGATAAGTTTCTAAATAAACAAAAAAGAAATACTTACGTTTATTTATAAGATGGATTTAATTGATAAATATTTTTTTATAGAATTTTCCAATTTTCTTTTGAAAAGAGGGAATTTTTATATTTATATTCACCTTGCATTAACAAATTTGAAAATGGCGCCAAAAAATAGGATTAACAGTATACTGGACTGCGTTCCGTTTTAAAAAGTCACCAGTATAACTAGCTATAAAGGAACGGGCTTCCAGTATACTAAATTGACGTCATACTGTTCAGTGGTCGCAGTGTATATCGGAACATACCCTTAATTAAATGGACTAAATTGACTGCTCAACTCACAATTTTTTCGTTGCAGATATAATTAAAATATAAAATATTATGAAATATTGTTAGAAAAGGAAAAATAATCTACACTCTGGCTCATCTAGGCTCGAACTACTGTTAAAATTACTTATTAATAAAACATTTGCATTTTTAAACTTTCCTAGAGCCTTCAAGTACAGTCTTAAATATCAAAACAAAAACAAGATTTTGTCAGGGATATATTTTATCTTTGACATGACTGATTCAGTCCAATTATAGAATAAGTACAAACTCCAGTAAAAATATTTTTAAAATTTAAAAGATGTAGGTGTTATAAAGTAAATGTCCTACTCCTATCCCAATGATGTGTTGTATTTTATTCTGAAAGTTTGTTTTTCTTTTTCTTTTACTTGTCTTCTTCATATCAAGTGCTGCACATAACGAAACGTTAAAAAAGTTATTTTTACGGTGTTGGTGCACTAGTTACTTCGTGAAATAAAAAGAGATGCAAACATTCCAGAGTAATAGTAAGTTAAAAAAAGCTAAATATATATTTTTCGTTTCTTTCATAGCGATGTTTTCCGAAGTTAACCGATAAATGACGTGACGACGCCATATTTGATGTCAGATTGTGACGCTCAGTGATTGCATTGTGCGAGAAATTGGATAAAATAATATAAAACGAGCAAAGTTAAACCACTACTGGTTTTGTATTGAAGGTAAGATAACAATAAAATAATATGCTTTAAATATTTTGTAACAAAATACACAATAATGTTATTGCAATCGCATCGAAATATGAGAGTCGGGGTGTGGTATTTAGTTCACGGGATACATTTTGTTTGTTTTATTTCGTTCAATACTTGACCTATCGATTGCATAAAGCATGAAAATATGTGTTTATGTAAAAAACATGTGCGCTATGCTACTATGATTGTATATTATAACAACATTAGTGGTGCGAAGAAATAAGTGTTTATTTTTTTTTATCACAGGAACAGGGTGCATTCTTGCATCCTTTCTAAACATGAGCTATCAGATACCATCATCGCAAAGCCGCACGAGTGAGTACTTGCCTGTTTTGTTCTATGCCAACTTGTAATTTGGGATTCTAATGAAAGAAAGCATGAAACTAAACTAGTTTCTCCATTCTCTTTCTACATAATCATAGATTGGACCAAGAATGACTCATACAATATGAAGCCCGTGTATCCCAACGTACATGTGTAACATAAAAAATAGTAAATCTCAGAGTGCCAGGGACAAAGTGTATTTTTAAGCATTTTTCAGTATAGCATTGTGAATGCAAATTTGATCTAATATAATAAGTAAATAAATATCTTAAACAACATAATGTAGGACCTCACTTCTATGATGGAATTCGGAATTTGAACAACAAAAGTCCACAATGATCAAGCTCTGAAAAAACAAACTAGGCAGTGATACTATGAAACTAGCATTAGAACTATTTGACTACTTACATGGTCTAATAATGATAGTTGTAGATGTTTCATCTTATTTCTAACACTTCAAATATATTCAGTTTATCTTCAATAGCTTTCAAATTATTATTTACTAGAAAGAGTTCATATATTATGTCATTTGGTAGAATAGTTTTTATGCTATGTATGAAATGAGTTCTACCTGATAACATAATCTGTAAGATTTAACTAAATATCATGTAAAGAAGTTGAATTATTAATTTAGGCAATCATTTGACTGCAATTTGAATTAAAAAATTGTACGACTAAATCACTTCTTCACTAAATCACACATTTTTAATTAATATTTAGCAAATTCATTCTATTAAATGATTAATATTGTGCATGCAGCCATTTGACCGGCAGTTGTCTTTATAGCTAAGCAAATTTTGCTGTTTCAGTGTCCCATAGCAATTATGGGGGCTCCGATGTCCCCATGGCCCCTAGTAAGGAGCAGCAGACACTTATGTGGCAGCAGAACTCATACCTGGTTGATTCTGGCATCAATTCTGGAGCTGCAACTCAGGTGAGAATACATTGATCATTAAAAATATAGAAAATACTATTTGTAAACAAATATATGACTTAAAACTGATTTTACTGAGTGACAGGAATATTTAGTCGACTGCATAACTTTATTTTATTCTTATAATAAATAAATGATAAATATGACATGACTAACCATAATAAAAAACAAAAAACATAAGTTCAAATATTGTAAAGTGATGATGTAACTACAAAAAGTTGCTACAGCAATATGAATTGTTAAAGTGAAATTGTAAAAGTAAACTACCATATGATCCTTATGTGGTATATAATGTAGTAATTAAAATAAGTTCCTAAACCTATGATGGTGCAAAAATATTATGAACATGTTAAACTACTTGAAACATTGACACAATATATGAAATATTTATAAACTTTTTAGGTGCCATCTCTTACTGGGAAGGAAGATGATGAAATGGAAGGCGATCAACTTATGTTTGATCTTGACCAAGGGTTTACTCAGGGTTTCACGCAAGAACAAGTTGATGGTAAGTTTTCCTCAATTTTTTATTCTCATACTTAAAAGTTTATCTACTTTTTAGATCACACTTACAATTTCTTTTTACAAATAGCACTCCAATGTTTCTTATTTTATATCACCTAGTAATATGAACATTCTTCAATCCTCACAAGGCCCATTAGGTGGGTTATTTGCTAGTTCTATTTCATTATGTCCAAAGATGGATGTCATAGGAGTGTAGCACTTCAAAATTATTTAAAATATGGGACTTCACTATTTTTCCTTTCTATATACAGATATGAACCAACAACTATCACAGACACGTTCCCAGCGTGTCCGAGCTGCCATGTTTCCTGAAACCTTGGAGGAGGGCATCGAAATTCCATCCACTCAGTTGGATCCAGCCCAACCAACGGCGGTCCAGCGTTTGGCTGAGCCATCGCAAATGCTGAAACATGCTGTTGTTAACCTCATCAATTATCAAGATGATGCCGATTTAGCAACCAGGTATCTTCATCACTTCTATTTCTTTCTGCATTTTGTGCCCAAAATATCTAAGACAATTGGGATATTTTTTTTAATACAGCTTTTTATTGGTATTTTTATTGTTATCTAATGTTTCAGAATTTTTAGATGAATGAATTAATATTAATCTATAATAGAAATATTAATTATAATCTGTGCATAATTATACTATATTAAATTTATACAAAGTAAACAATGAACAATCCTTGTTTTTTTTTTTCATTACAGAGCCATACCAGAGTTGATCAAGTTGTTGAATGATGAAGATCAAGTGGTGGTCTCCCAAGCTGCTATGATGGTTCATCAGTTGTCGAAGAAGGAAGCATCTCGTCATGCCATCATGAACTCGCCAGAAATGGTAGCGGCGTTGGTGCGAGCTATTTCATATAGCAATGATCTGGAAACAACTAAGGGAGCTGTGGGAACCTTGCATAACTTGTCCCATCATCGTCAAGGTCTGCTGGCTATCTTCAAGAGTGGTGGGATCCCCGCTTTAGTGAAACTGCTCAGTTCTCCAGTAGAATCTGTATTGTTCTATGCTATCACAACTCTGCATAATCTATTACTTCATCAAGATGGTTCGAAAATGGCAGTGCGTCTCGCTGGCGGCTTGCAAAAAATGGTAGCTCTACTCCAAAGGAATAATGTTAAGTTCCTGGCTATTGTGACAGATTGCCTGCAGATTCTTGCATACGGAAACCAAGAGTCGAAGCTCATAATACTTGCGTCTCAGGGACCTATTGAACTTGTTCGTATTATGCGTACTTACGACTACGAAAAGTTGCTGTGGACCACATCGAGAGTGTTGAAGGTAATTATGTCATTATTGATTCTTTTTATATTTTAACATTTACTAACAGACTGTAATTCTCTTTTTAATAGCTAATTGATAGAAGTTCTTTTATTCCTCCATTTGCGATCATTCTATTGACTATGATCAGTTACAGTGTGTATTTATCTTATAGCAGCAGTACTCCACTGAGTATCTTTTCATTCTTTGTTTTCTATCATATGTGTTGATGTTTAAGCCTCTTAGGGTAGTTAACGCTGGTCATTTGTACTGCTAGGCAATATGGGTGAGTGAGAAGGCATTCCTTGCTTTTAGCAGAGAATTTCATACTTGACTGTGGCAACATGAAGCTCAATTTTATGAGCCATGATGCATTAGATAGATTCCTTAAGATGTTATTTTGTGCCCTTCCTGTGATTTCTGTACTGTAGCTACAGGCTGATCCCCATGGCTAATAGAAATGGTTGATAAATGTATTTGTCTATTTAATTTTTTTTTTGTATGTCAGGTGTTGTCTGTGTGCTCAAGCAACAAGCCAGCTATCGTAGAGGCAGGTGGTATGCAAGCTCTAGCTATGCATTTGGGTAATTCGAGTGGACGCCTTGTGCAAAATTGTCTATGGACTCTAAGAAATCTCTCCGATGCCGCTACCAAGGTAAATTCTTCTTTTAATATGGACATTTTAAATTTTAATATGTTGTCTTACAAAGTATTAATGGCGTTATCTGCACAAATACAGGTTGAAGGCTTGGAGGCTCTTCTGCAGAGCTTGGTGCAAGTTCTCGCGTCTACTGACGTCAATATCGTAACTTGTGCCGCTGGCATCCTCTCCAATTTGACTTGCAATAACCAACGTAACAAGGTTTGTGTTTTACTTCATATTATTTCATTTAATTCTTTATCAAGTAGATTTACAGTGTAACAAGTACATTTTATATAACGTAGCAGTAGCAGGGTATTGCCTTTGCCACATGTTGAAATAGTAATGAAGCAAATGGTAATTTTTTTACCCTTTTTGCTGTAAATGAAACAACCTATTTAAATACTCTTAGTCTTATATAAGCTTTATAAATAAAATCTTCAAACCTAAACTAATTAAGGTTCTGTACCCCATGAGTAAAAATGGGACGGTATTACTAAGACTGCAGTTTTAGTTATATGGTCCCATTTTTACCAAGCCAGGTTGTATGTCATGAACCATATAGTTATTGCTCAAAAGTTGATATTTTCACAGATGGTGTTTTTTTGTTTTCACTATAACGACTACTATTAAAATAAAGATTTTAATGGGCATGATATTTTTCGTTTTTTTTTCTAAACAATGGTACGGAACTTTTCGTGTATGAGTCTGACTTGCTCTTGGCCAGTTTTTATTTGTTGAAAAGGAACATTAAAAAGATTCTTCATTACAGATTTTCAGTCCAGTAAAGACTGGTTGACAAAAAATGCCTTTGATATTAAATCCATATTTGGGTTTCCCATAGACTGTATAAATTAATAAATAATAATGAAACTTATTAATAAATAAATGATTGTATCAGGTGACAGTGTGCCAAGCAGGAGGCGTAGACGCTCTCGTACGCACAGTAGTATCGGCCGGGGACCGGGAGGAAATCACTGAGCCAGCAGTATGCGCTCTACGACATCTAACCTCCAGACATGTGGAGAGTGAGATGGCACAGAACGCGGTGCGGGTACACTATGGATTACCAGTAAGTTAACTAGCACGTTTTTTTTTTTTTTACGAACAACAATACTGCCATTTGTATTGTAACGATTTTAGATGTGTGTGTGACATTAAATTATCAACTTTTAAAAAATATGTTTACACAATATATATAGCAAAATATATTTTTGTTTACAATTTATATCTGCTTCTGCTTGTCTGTTTGTTCCCGTTAATCTCTGAAACGGCTTGGTTGATTTTGATGGTACTTTCACTACTACTTTCCACGCGGACGAAATCGCGGGCACAGTTAGTAGTCAAATATAAAGTTCTCGTATCATGGTGTGTCTGGGACGACAGAGATACCACAACTCCCAGACACGAGACAATATAGGAAAGTCCATTATCTACATTGACCTCACCAAGAACCGAACTCAGAACCTTGAAACCGGCATTCGAATCACTCTCCTACGGAGGCCGTCATTTTCAAAGTACTAAATATATTTAAATTAATTTGATTATTTGTTTTACTTTATAGTGACATTCTAATTAGTGTATAGTGGAACTCGTAGATTGAGGATTTGTGTAGGATTGCCCTTCATAATAAATTATTTGTAGCATTATACTCAAAGCAATATGTCTTGTGTAAAAACAGACTTAAATATGTATTACTAAAATAAAAATCTCGTCGAAATTTGCTTTATAAGTCTTCATCATTTGCATCATGTATATAAATACCACATTGTCATAGTAAAATGACTTCTATTTCTAAATATTAATAAATAATTGAAATTGCTAGTATCCCACGATGTTTATATGACAATATACTAATAGGTACTATAGTTTATATTGTAATGAAATCCTAGAGTAAGAAGTTATATATTTTACTCTCAGGTGATAGTGAAGCTGCTGCAACCGCCTTCCCGCTGGCCTCTTGTGAAGGCTGTAGTGGGTTTGGTTCGCAATTTGGCCCTCTGTGCTGCCAATTATGCGCCATTACGTGAACATGGCTCCGTACACCATCTGGTGAGACTTCTGATGCGTGCATTCAACGATACACAACGGGTGAGTTACAAGTATAACTATGCTCATATATTTTTTCTGAAATCATCTTTCTGTTTCAATCCTTTAAAGACATTTTGGAAAACAAGACTTAATATACAAAACTAATTTCGTATATCTTTTTTCTTCTAAGTGTATAAAATACTTTAAAAAATGCACCATATCTTCCTAAACAAACCTAAAAATGGTTACCCACCTACATTACTTACAGAGTTAAGAAAGTAGGTCAATGACAAGTAAAACACTGTCCTATTATCATTTTTTTTTATTCTACAATATCTATATCGCACTGCGCCGTGTGAAAGAGTTAGTTTCCAAACACTGTATTGCTATGTGGTTTCGGCCTGATAAGCGTCAGAGGACAGAAAATTATTACACAAAAGATAAGCATGCGATGAACACGTCTTTGAATTTTTTTTTTCTATTACAAAATCGTGTTTAAGGATTGGATGAGGCTGAACATTATTTAAACATTGTTTAAAATATAAACGCTTGTTGAGAGTCGTTTAACGCGTGCCTAACCTCAAAAGAGGTTGCGTTTTGTTGAAAATTCATCTATATTCATGAAAAATTTATATGGAGCTTAAAGATGATATGGTTAATTTAGATTACATCTAGGAAAGCTTTCGGGAAGCGTAAGTAAACCGAACGCGAATTAATCCATTTGAGCAGTACAATGAAGTTGTATTTAAAAGAAAGTACATAATTAGTGGATTTTTAGCTGACAAAATATATTACATTGACATTGAATGATGAAAATATAGATACACAAATTAAAACATGTGGCATGTGCATGTACATAGCATCTGCGGCCTGTACACAACTTGTGAACATGTGCATTAGCGGCGTTAGGCTCATCATCAGTCACTGTTCCATTTCTTCATATTTTTTCGCTACAGTTTTACTCAACCTAACTCTGATATGAATTATGTATAGAAGTGCCAGATTAAAAATGTTAATTTTGTACTTTTTTTGAAGCTTTTGAAAATTATTAGCAAATACGTTATTGAACATATTTTTTTACGATTACAATTTTATGTTATATAAAGTTTAATTTATGATAAGTCTGTATACAATGTGCATAAAATGAACGTGTATGAACGAATGAAAGCCGACTGAACGAATGTTTTACGGGTTGCATATTTAAATCAGTGTAATAGATTTGTAATAGACAAAATTAAACATCATTTTAACAGGGTTTATATTCTTAGATATTGTTTAGTTTAACACATGGCAAAACCCTGTCTAACCTCTCGTTTGTAATATCACTGTTACGATTTGCGTTGTAGCCCATAACTTGTATACATAATTTTTCCCTTTACATTTGAATCAAAATAAAAACATTCTGTGAATGTTAGTCCAAAACAAAAAAAAAAAAAATCTATGTCTATACTGGTCACAAACTTTACCAAACTTTACCACCAGTACGGAGTCAGAAATGCCCAATGACCTTTGATAGTTTTGTATAGTCTGACACACTGTTGACTGTACAATAACGACTAATGGCAATGTGAATAGAACTGTAACCATAATACACTTTCCCCTAATTCAACTCAAGTCTTAGGTTATGGACTGTTCCCCGGCATTGAGTACATGATGATGATTACGAAGCCTTAATATGACATTTTACCGCTTCCTTCAGCAACGTTCATCTGTATCTGGCGGCGGTGGACCAGGAGGTGCGTATGCGGATGGCGTCCGCATGGAGGAAATCGTGGAGGGAGCTGTTGGTGCACTCCATATATTAGCACGCGATAGTGTCAACAAACAACTTATACGACAGCAGAACGTCATACCGATCTTCGTGCAACTGCTATTCAATGAGATTGAGAATATACAGGTATAAGAATTCAGTTTAATTAAACTCCATGCAGCATTTATTTTATTAGGTTTATCTGTATAAAGAGATTACCAGATTTTGAAACTGTATAAAGAAATATAACTAGATAAAAGGTGTGTTGATTACTCTTAATTGTAATTAAGTTTAATGCAAATTAATGTTATTTGCTTTTTTATTTATTTAATCTTTTTTGTCTATGAAATAGCAAAAGGCGGACTTAATGCCAAAAAGGCATTCTCTACCAGTCAAACCAGTGAAAATGTACAGTTACTTATCAGCGGTATCAGTGAAATAAAAGGATAACCTAGTTAAATATTATATAATAAATTATTCATGTTTAATAATAATTAATCAGTTTCTATAATTATGACTACACGCGAAAACATTACATTTTAATTTTTAACGCTTTGTTACTGTACTTCGGTTAATCTCTTTGCGGACAATGATTTCTAAAATCAGCAGAAACTCCATTAGAATATATCTAGTAAAACTTTTCCACTTGTATAACTTAGAAAAGGTTCTCTAACCCATAATATCCCGACACTGATTATTGTTTATAGCGCGTGGCAGCTGGAGTCCTTTGCGAGTTAGCTGTTGATAAGGAGGGAGCTGAAATGATAGAAGCGGAGGGTGCAACCGCACCGCTTACGGAATTGCTGCATTCACGTAACGAAGGTGAAATATAATTTTAAATCCTTCCTCTAAAGTATTATACTTCGAGATTTTCATACCACTTAAAATAAATAAAGCATGTTCTTGGCAGAATGCAGATGACGCTGTACGTTTTTTCGTGACTTGTATAAGGCTTTGGTTCTGTATCATGACATTGGTGGAGAAATATTAACTACTTACTATATGAACTTACTTATCCCATCATTAATCCAATTAGATTTTTTTTTACCTTATATTTAACAGATAAAACAATAAAAAAAGTTCACATTAGCAAAACTACCTCTTGGTTCAACTGTCTAGATGGGTGTTCCACAGGGCTCAAGCATGAGTCCTTTCTTACTTTGAATTCACAACATAACTACTTTTTTCACAGAGATAATCACAAAATAGTTTTATTTGCAGATTATAATTTGCTATTAGGCAATTGTTAATTTTATTTGTTTTTTTTTATTTTTTCTTCTCATTTTAGGAGTGGCTACATACGCCGCTGCAGTATTGTTCCGTCTCTCGGAAGACAAGCCGCATGATTACAAGAAGAGGCTCTCCATGGAGCTGACCAATTCTCTGTTCCGCGAAGATCCTCAGATGTGGCCCAACGATTTGGCCATGCAACCCGACTTACAGGTAAAAAGAGCAATGGTATTTGTGAATTAGCTTCTGCTTTAAGTAAAAGTAGATTTTATTATTAAATTGTGTGTTTTATAAATCCTATAATCGTACTATTGATAGATAGTTAAAGAATTAACGGAACTACTATTTGTTTATCACATTTTTTTTTAAGATCCTATTTGAAAAGTTCTATGCATTATCATGTGCACTATTAATAAGCCATAAAATTATTCATATGGAAATTTAGGACTATTTATAATAGTTCAATTACAAATGTATTGATGCGTTCATAGACTCTTCATTATGTAAGAGTTATTATTCATATATATTCATCAAAAAAAAAATGTTTTCAATATATCTAATTTGCGTCCCTGTTTGGATAGACTGAAAGCATCAAAAAGCTTATTACTAAATGTTATTACCACAGATCCATTTTGTAAATATTGAAATAACTAAATGTTTAGTAAATTTTCTCACTTTCTATGTAAAGTTATATTTTTTTGTTGTCTTGCTTATGCTTTAATATGTCGTCGTTTTGATAATTAAGTGTTTATTTTTTAAATAATTTTGTTTTGTTATTTGGAAGTTATCTTTAAATAGCGTAATCTATAATTAATAGTTTCTGGGTTCGATGTTTTTCTTCGGTAGCCTTTTTTACAGTTGCTCTACATAGGATTAAGAAATAAATGGCAAAATTTATATTTAAATCATGACTCGTATATGAAGACCATAACGGCATGTTTTGTTATCTTTTCATTGGTTATCCAACTGCATAAATAACTTGGCTTTGCTTTTTATTTGTGATTGATGTGTACTCGTTTTTCTTTTTTTCGAAGTTTCTTTATTTCATTTGGATTTTTATTGAGTATGTGTGTTCCTATAATTTTGATGTGACCTCCCCATTAGGACATGCTCGGGCCCGAGCAAGGGTACGAGGGGCTGTACGGTACCAGACCGTCGTTTCACCAGCAAGGTAAGGTGTTTATGAACAATCGTAGTTGTTATGAAAGACTAACCAGTGTTCAATAGAAAAGTGGTTTCAAAATTGAGAAAAATACTGTACATTATGCGAGCCAAATGAGAATAGTATCGCGCTATCTACCAACTTCATGACTTAGCTGTCATTTTGGTATAGATAGTAAAAAAATTAGTTCGCTAAATATTTTTTGGATTCGTTCAACTTTATAAATATATTCTGCTAGCTGTTGTTACGTGACTTCGCACGCTTAAATTATAGCCTATGTCAACCCCGTATGATGTAGCTACCCGTAGGTGAAAGAATTTTTAAAAAACGATTCATTAGAAACAAATCTTTCCAGTTTTTAATATTAGTGTTTTGATTATTGAATTTATTAATTTTAACGCGAAAATATCAATAGACAATATAATATATTTTATAAATTGGTCTCTTGGTCTTTTCTTTACTACTAAATGTAAAGTTGATTATTTTTATTGCAACGTCAACGATGCTCACGCTATACGCGTCGCAATTTTATAATTTTATGTCTGCGTTCAATTTGTATGTCAGTTTTCCGTAATCCGTTATACAGTGTTACTGTAATGCTATGATTTTTTCAAAAAAATATATTTTCGTTCCTTTTTTTGCAAACCTTTGGGGGTGTAACCCTGAAATTAATGCGCAATATGAACCAAGATCGCCGTTTGACAGTCCTATTCTTAGTTGGCTCACTTAGTAGATAACAATAGTCTGTCTAGAAAGTTTAGTACTGTAATCTGAAAATAGGTGTGCAGTATTGAGTTTAATACATTGCATACGAATATATCATATTTTCTATCGGACACTGAAAATAATTGAGTAGATTATAATACATATTTGTTTATGGAGATATTACAAATATGGAAGATGGTAGTAAATTATTTGGAAATTGTTTTATATTAACCTTTCTCTATATCCACTGAAGTGTGTTTATTTTAAAATGTAAAGTATATGTACGTAGTATATTTTTATTGTATTTTTGTTTCTGTATACATATTTAACTATGTTTATACATTTTACATGATATATTACTATTAGTGAATTCTTACTAATCGTTTATATTTATCTATAAAAATATAGTTGGATAATAACAGTTTGTAATATCTTGATATAGTCATACATAAAACATTTACGTGAGTATATTGTTGAATGCATAATTTTACTGTCTTCTCTATTGATAGATGATAGCACTGATATGTTCCTATCATTAAAATAAGTTGTTATAAATTCTTTATAAATATATTTGTTTTCTCTTCTTTACACGCAGCTTAATCCGGGAGCTATTTATCACTAAACGCAGGTGATGGGAATATTATTATTATTGTGTTTCGTGTTTGTGACAATACCTAAATTTTATATCTCTTTCACACTAAAATTTAATTCTTAACACCACAGCATGTTGAATATACATATATATATTATTAACTAACTTATAAGTGAGTCAAAGACCAAAAATTACATTAAAAGCTTTGCAAATAAAAATAAGAAATAAATAATGCTTTATGATGCTGTTTTAAATGCTATATTTTAATAGCAACAGCTGCTTTAAAAACACTTAGTATTTACTTTTTGATATAATGCTAAAATTAACTAAGAGCATGCAAAGAAATGTGTGCAATAAATGGGTAATTTACATTCAATGATAATGAAATAAGCAATGTAAAAGTAATTGGTCATCGATACTTGTATAGTTTTTATTTTATACTATTTAAAAAAAAAGGCTTGAATGGCATCAGTATTTCAGATATTACAGTTATATCTTGAACTGTTTTTAGTGACTGGCCTCTTTGTAGTGAGTGTTTTTTTTTTAAAGAACGAAATATCCTGCCCTAAATCAAATTAAAGAACTCAATAGAAATAATCGTACAGGAAGATACAATTAATGTGGCTCGCCGATATAACCGCGCAGAAAAAATCTCGAAGCGCGACAAATTTTTAATGGTTCAAGACCGCGCCGTAATCAGTGCGCTTGAATTTCCTGAGATTGAATAAGAGGAACTAATGCTTCGTATTTTACTTGATTATAGTTATTAAAACCAAAGACACTAAATTTTAATCGTCGGTTCTTGGTACGTTGGGTCATCATCGCAATTTCTGCTCTAATTCTTCATTACAGAGCACATACCATCAATGTTTAGGTGTCATATAATCTATATCGAGTATGTTTGCTTAAAGACTTAGATTTCGAGTCCCTTCTAGTAAAACAACCCGTCTAATTATACTGAACTTAAAAATCTACAATCGATTTTTACCTTTAATCTCTTGACAATTATACAGCGTTTACATTCAGCTAAAGTAAGTATTGAAGTGGGTGGTATGAGTGTGTACTTTAATACCACTGCAATTGCCACTCGCACTGCCCTGCGCTCCCCAAAAGGTTTTGTACGAAAGTCAAAATACTAGCACTGATGTGAGCGGAAGTGCGTGTTTACATTCTGCAAGGTCGCATATCAATTGCCGAGGGCCATGTGAAAACGTGTACGTTTTGTTTCATAATTTCCATGACTAAAATGCTATCTGAGTGAACAAATGAGAACACAACAAAATTTTCAAAAATACAGTAATCAAGTAATTTAGGATGTACATGGTTAAAATTATAAAACTAAAGAAAGTAACTTCAGTCTTTAGAAATCGCGTCATAACGCGTGGCAACACGTCACTGATGTTTTAGTATCCTATCTATTGATAAACTAAAGTTTTAAAAAGCCCGCTGGCCAATTGTTTGCAACTGCCGAAACTTGAAAACGAAGTGTGTGGTAGAACCATATGTAAACACATACTTCTGTAAATCTTTGTACAGCAGTGTTTAGGAAAATAATGGCGGCAGCGCGGTAGGCAACAGCAATAGCTGAAAGTAAACGTAGTATTTAGTTCAAGGAACAGAGGTATATCAAACTATATACATTAACTTGAAAATTTGGTGTTATTTGTTATTTTAAAACTTTCAGGCTATGATCAAATACCGATAGACTCGATGCAGGGCTTGGAAATAGGCAGTGGTTTCGGTATGGAGATGGACATCGGCGAGACGGAGGGTGCCGGCGCCGCCTCCGCCGACTTGGCGTTCCCTGAGCCGCCGCACGATAACAACAACGTAGCAGCTTGGTACGACACCGATTTGTAAACTGACGCTGTTAAAATGAACTTTATTTACTAATACATTGAGTAGCGATTCGATTTCATTTTTAAAATTGACTTCATGTTATATTGAATTCATTATGTTTTCCGCATTGTTAAGTATTGAACTCTTAGAATTATCAGACGCTCGTATTTGCTTTACTATCTCGCGTCTTCTACTTAGTCTAAGGCTAACCTTATGTAGACTGGAATACGACAGAGGTCAACAACCTTTGCATTTAATGTTTGCTAGTTATTTTGATTTGCTAAAGACTATTGTATTCGTGAATAAAGTAATAGACACTACCTATGGAACGCCTTGAAGTGTCGTAAAAAATGCCTAAAAGTTACAGTTCACTGTTAAGTTTATGAACAAAAAATAATATTGCACTTTTTTTTTCGAAAAAGCTTGAGTCAAGATTGATTCTGCCAAGTGCCAAATGACACTGTCCATTAGTTTATATGCGTAACCGTAATAAAGTAATTGCGTCTGGAAAGTTTTTTTTTTATATAATTTTAGTTATTTATAGGTCTATTTTACGTCAGCTGTTTCGTTTTGAATTGTTTAGTATCGAAAAATTTGTATTTGATCCACAGTTTATTTGCGATCTGCAAATGTATTTAAAATTATAAAGGTTTCCACGTTACGCTAAGTAAGTCTTAATATAACGGGGAGACATAATTGGAATATTAATTTAGATTTTTTCGTAATATTTTTTTTATCGAGTGAAAACATCTGACGTAACAAGATAATTTATTGAACTAGCAACCTGTGATACGACGCAGCTTCACAAATTATGACTTGGGGGGTCTACCGGGTAACTTCTTGTGTTCTTGATTTAGTAAATTTTGACTCAAAGACCATTTTCAATTGAAATGTCAGTAACTTCATAGAAACAAGCGAAACCAATTCCAGGCACACAATCTTAGAGTTGGACTACATTTGGCAGCACTGTATCGGTTTTTTCTGTCGTTCGGGCTCGCCATTTGTGAGACCAGGAGAGATAGCGGGAACCTTTAAGCCTTAGAGGTTCCCGCTATTTCTCATGCTCCTTAGCATCCTTAGAGTCTAAGGGTTAGGCAACACTTTCTTTCTCGCTCTAGCAAATATTTGTACTCAGAAAGGATAGGCCGACAGAAAATGGCAAATGTAGACCAACCTTTACGCGGTATCTTCAAATTTACTATAACGATCTATATAAAATTCGAAAATAACGAGTGGTATGAAGTTCAATGAGTTATGCGTAAGACCCACAGGTTCAATTTTATTAAAATGTTACCGACAAGTGACTGAAACATTTTTATTTTCATATTGGTGCTAAGTTAAAAAAAAAACTCCAAAATATCACTAACACGCCCTGCATTGACTGTATCACTCTTTTTATACTTTGCGTATAAAATGCGTGTAATCGGAGAATAGGGTATATAATGTAAGATTTATAATAATAAGGCTTTAAAATCATCAATCTTTTATCAATTAAAAATTACTGTAACTAGCATTTATGGAAGTATTTGATTATTGATTATATTTTAATGATTATTGGATTTTTATGTTATTATTATTTTGTCGTAATTGAGCTTTTTTTATTTAAATGATATACAAGACTGGAAGTTTGAACGCGTGTAATATTTTGTTTGTAATGTTTGACTGCCATTTTAATTAAATAGTGAAGTTGTAAAGCTTTGACTAAATTATTGAACATACACAGCAGCATATCGGGTTACTATAAAAAATCCTAATTTCTATAAACAATGTTGAACTTAACTTTAAACAAATTAAAGCTTAAAATCGTTTATGAGAAATTTGTTTTTATTGTAACTTGCTTCAGGTCATATAGATTTTGAACTCTACTGTCTAGTGGAAGATTTCTTGACATGCTGTTGACTATACACTTTCAACTACTTACGTTTCATACGTAACATTTAAAGTAATTAATTAGAGGTAATACTTATTTCCTAACAACTGACATTTCTTGTCTATGTCTAGTGAAAGCCGTGGAGATTTTTATTTTACTTTACTATTATAATGAACAACAAATGATAATCTTTGTTTTTCACCGTTTTTACTAGTAATTAGTCTGTACTCACTGAAATAATAATCCTACCCAGTTGTAACGATGAAATAGAGAAATAGTACTTAAATGTATTGTGTCAAAGGTATCTGTACTGCTTTTGAACATAACAAAATATTCGGTATATAGTAAACGCACTCCAAATTAACGTAACCCACCCATTTTGTAGAATGTATTGACTTAGTGTAATGTAATCGGTAAATCATATATTTAGGTATTAATTACTTATTGTCCTTTTAGGGTTCTCCTATATTAATTTTTCTATTTGATATTTTTATTCGACTTTGTCAATGTATTTATAGTTGATATTTGTATGAAGACATTGATGAAGTGTGACTTCGTGTCCATGTATGGATAATAAAAGTGATTTGAATAAATGTTTGGTTTTTTATTTTTCCCTAACCGTAATAGGAAATTATAATTAAATCTTTCAAACTAAGAGTAGAACAACTGTGTAACTGAATACGAATCTTTTTTTTATCAGTCTGGGGCATAGCGGCGATAAATGGCTAAAGTAAATACTAAGAAATAATGTGGCATTGCTGGGTTGAAGTCAACCTAGTAACACCAAACTGATATATCTTCTGAACTATAACACTCTTATAAAACGTCAAGTCATTTTAGCATGAATTCATAAAATATTGTTTTTTTTTATTTTATATATCCTGTGAGTTTCAAATTTTCTCCACAACTACAAACTATTTCACCGCTCTGACTATTCCAATGAAATGTTCTAGTCTCACATTATTGTGACGAAATACTTTTTTTTGACGCTGATAAATGCGTTACGCATACAACACCCAGCGCGGGCTTCACGGGTTATGTGGGACTCTTCCTGCAGCTCCACCTCCGAAGGGGCTAGACAAGAAGCAGGAGTTCACCCACTGAAACTTAGCCATGTCCCTCGCATGGAAGGCGATGCGCGAGATCGGCCCAGAGGCCATACACCGTTCGGTTCGCCCCCATTTCGGCCCGCCCTGAAAAGGGCAGGTCCCTCTGCGGGTTGGGGGTACATCTAAGATGTACCCCCCCCCGACGAGGGCATTCCACGACCACTTAAGCGTTAATAGTACATTGCACGACGACTCTCGTCGACTACATATTGAAACGTAATATTGTACATTATATAGATGAGGTAACGCATCGCTGGTAATGTTAATGGAGTATATAAAAAAAAAAAAAAAACGTATTATAATGTACGCAAGATTTCGGAGTACAGACCATGGTCTGATAATACTAAATACACACATTACAAAAACTAATAACATGCCGTCGGAGACATTTAAGATGTACCCCCCGGCGAGGTGAGAGCGTGCAATGCCGACCGGCGCGAAAACCAACCAGCTACCCCCGACTAGAGACCGGAGATGCGCGACTGTGCAATCTCCAGTCCCTTATACCCATCGTGTTGAGAGGATTCACACAGGCATAGCCCTTATCATGGATCCCCTCCCCCCCCCCCCCATAGGTCTCTGGGCCACAGAAGACCGGCCTCATCACGCCCTGTATCAGCTCCAAGGAGCCGGTCGCGCCGTGGCTGCGGCCCTACCGAGGTCCCGGCGCTACACCAGTCGTCAGGCAAGCACAGCTGGTAAGTCCCCAGGAAAGTACCCACCATACAACCCTTGACTAATACGGCGTGTAGTTGTGTGTGTGTGTGTGTGAGATACATGAATGTGTATGTAAAGTGTGTGTGTGTAACTGTGGATGTGTGGTTGAATGTGTAAGTGTAGTGGATGGATGTATAACTGTGTGACAGTGTGTGTTGTGTGCATGTAAGTGTGTGTGCATATTTTTTTTTTTTTTTTTTTTTAATGCCTGGCCCACAATACGGGCCGGGCCCTACACTGCACCCCACTTTTTAGCAGGCCTTTGTTTTTTCTAAATTCCACATTCATTCCAGTTCTCTCTTTTATCCTATTCCTTTCATGCTGCATTCCTATTCTTTCTTTTATTCTTTCTCATTTATACTTCGAGCGACCGGGTTCGCCGCATCTATAACTATTCTATTCTATGTATCTTATTTATTTCTTTTGTTATTTAATGTACTCAACACATCTTTTATTGTTCTTATCCTAATACATATAGTTCTGGTTCACTTAATCTATTACATTTATTTTTCTATATTTATTCTATTACATTTGTAATTTTCTTTTACATATTTATTAATATCTAAGTGTTTTACATTTCTTATTTCTAATTATGTTACATATCTTAATTACTAAGTTATTTTTCTTTTACTTGTACATTTTGTTTTCCTATGTTTATTTTTATTACATTTGTTTCTTAATGTTTATTCTATTATTTTAGTAACTTTATTACAGTTCAAGTTTTTTCTTATTTCTATTTTACATTCTTTTTACTTATATTTTATGTTTTAATTTCTTAACTCTAGTTACTTTTCTTATCCTATTGATTCTATTTTAATACTCGCTACTGGATATATGTCTATATTATGTCATCTTTTCCCTTTTTAGTTACATTCTTTTATATTTTCTTATTTATCCTGTTTCATATACATCTAATTAATTTTCTTTTACATATTTATTTGTATCTAAATGTTTTGCTTTTCTTATTTCTTCTAATCATTGCTATTTATGTCTCTATTAATTCTATAAGTGAATTCCAATCCCCCGTCTATGTCTTCTTTATTTTTATATTTATTCCTTATTTATATTCTATCCTTTATCCTTTTGTTATTATCCCTATTTTGATTTCTTTGTCTAATTTAAATTTCCTTTTATTATATTATTCTTATTTGTTTGGTCACTCCAGACTATACAATTATAGTATTTTGTGAGCCTAACTTGTCCTTTTAATTGTTATTCTTTTATTTCCCTTTTTTTTATGTCTAAATCTGTTGTCTTAATAACATTTCATATCATTATGTATGTCATTAGATTTTTCTGTTTAATTCGTTTGTGTTTTGTGTTTGCTGTTCCATGCTTATATTTAAATATTCATTATTTTTATATGCATGTATTCCGTTTTTTTGTGTTTGTTTTTTGTTATGTTTGTGTTGTTTGGTTGTGTTTTTTGTTTTGTTTTTTATTTGTTTTTGTGTGTTACTGTTTTTTGTTTTGTGTTTCCTTGTTTCAAACATATGCTGTGGTAGTGCGGGCCAAGTACTCCCATTTCTCTCGTACCCTACACTCCTTACTGAAAGCATTATGTTCCTCATTTTCAATTCCGGCGTGCGTGCAGTTGCAGCACCGCGGTGGTCTACCCGCTTTCCTTTCCGGGCAATTAGCCCTAAGGTGCGGGTCCCCGCAGTGGCTGCATCTACTCGCACTCTCCTGACAAAATTTCTTGCCATGACCGAAGCCCAAGCATTTTGTGCACTGTATGAGCGGCGATTGGTCTTCGACCTTTAGCCGCTCCATTCCTATGTATACTCTTCCGGCTTCGGTCATGGCTCTCCATACGTCAGGTTTGACTTGCATGACCGCGTGACTTCTTTCTTGGTTAATTGCTTTTTTCTTGAATTTTATTTTAATCTCTTTGTCCTCCTCTTTTTTAAAATATTCTTTATTTTGGTTTATGATTAGTTGGATCAATTCCTCGTCTTGCATTCTATATTGTACCTCTTTAATTAATATTAATGGGTTTTTATTTTCTATTTTTTCTACTGATATACCTTTGCTATTCTCCAGTTTTTCTTTAATTTTATTTATTTCTTTTTCCTGTTTACATCCTATTATTATTTTCTGGTCTTTAATTTTTCTTATTTTATCAATTTTTATATCTCCTGTTTTGGGGTCTAATATTTTGTTTGTTTTTTGTATGAGGTCCTCCGCCGTATCATTTTTGTTTTCCGATTGCAGTACTATTGAGTGTATTGTTTCTGGTATATGCCTCTTCGTTATGTTTGCATATGTTGTTCCATTCATGATGTTGTTATTCTGATGTGCCGTTTGTTCTTCCCGGTCGCCAATTTTTCCTTTCATTTCATTCAGTAGATCTTCATTTATATTTAAACTCTCTTGTGCTGTAACCTGGTTTTCTATCACAATTCCTATATTCGTTTCTGCCAAGACTAAACTTTCTGTTGTTTTATCAAACCTTTTATATATTTCATTCCTTATCTCCACTAAATCTCCCTGTATGCACATCAGTTCGTGTCGTATGTCTTGCTTCGTGTCATTTATTTCCTCTTTTATTTCCTTTAACTCTTTCTTACTTATTTCTTCAACTTCTACTTCCCTCTGTTTATCTTCTTCTCCCTCTATTTTCCCACAGGTGACTTTTGTTTCCTTCCTTTTCCTCCCTAAGTCTATTACTTCCGCCACTATGTTGTCTTCGGAGGTCTCTATCTTTTTTGTTATCCCTCTCATTTCCTCTCTTGTGCTTATTATAATTTCTTCTACTTCTTGCCTTTTCTCTTCTTCTTGTTCCTTTTTATTTCTCCATTCTTCCATATTCCTTCTCATTTCCTCTCTCATTTCCTTCAATTGTATTTCTATACCTCCTTCCTTTTCTTCTCTTCTTTCTTCTCCTTGTCCCGTCCATCTCCTGCTAATTTCGAACATTGTTGTTAAACCTTTATCAGCTATTTCTTCAAGTTTTGCCTTTACGTCCCTTCTCATTTGTCCATAGACTGTTTCCGCTGTTTCTTCAAATAGTAACATGACTTGTTTTAGCAGTTCCTGTGTGTTTTCATTCATCATCCCTATTTTTGATTTTGTGTCATACCTCTTTTTTATTTCCAGCGATCTTCGTTTTACTTGTGTTCTATTGATGAAAAGTTTGCTTGCTTCCTGCTGTTCATCCCTCTTTGGTGATGGTGAGGGGGAGTCCTGGGAGAATCTCCTTCCAGCTTTCGAGGGGGACGCAACCGGTGTTCTATACATTTTGTGGGGTGCAGTGTTATGTTGTATATACCGTGTTTATTTTGTTTGAGTGTATGTGTTCTAATGTTGTTTTGTTACAGATGTCGTCAGAGCTGCTCTACAGCTTGGTCCTGTTGGTGTTGGTAAGTAATGTTTTATTTAATTGTGTTTGCTTGTGTGTTTATATGTGTGTACGCGTGTGTGTGTGTGTGTGGCTTGGTGTTTGTAAATATGTTAATGCAGAGCCTTGCTCAATGCGTCTAAATGTGTTTGTCCTATGCTACGACGTGGCCCAATAGGGGTCCACTGTCAACTTATCCTACTTTAAATATATATATACAGGTCAATATCAAAGTGTCCCGTTAAATTTGGGTTCACTGTTGTATAAGGTTATGGAAACTTTTCGTTAGAAATTTTTTAAATATGATTATGTGTCAATTTTTTATATTATTTCCGAGAAAATACCTTATTTTATAAATGTCGATTTTATCCCTTAAAAAGAAGGGATGTCTCTCGTTTCAATTTATTATGTCCTTTTGTGCTTTATTCCTTATATTATTGAATTTTTTCGAATTTTTTGGCACAAAATTGCCAAAGTTGTATAATTTTTTATATTTTCCGGATTTTTCTCGAAAGTTTCCGGATTTTCCGGGTTACGTCCTATGCCTTCTCGTTGTCCTCTTTGGGCCCTATCACCCGATACCTCTCTTGCCTTTGTACGATGGGTAGTTTCGGAGATATCCCTTGGCCAAAATCGCCAAAAAACTCGGCCCGAAGGGGACGAGTGCCGATAACTCCGAAACTATCGATCGCGTGGAACTGGGATTTTTTGGGGATGGATAGGGAGGGTTCTGCCGCACCTAAATCCGGGGTCGGTTGTAATTGTCCCACGACCTTGAGATAGGGGTAGTTCACCCTATGGGTCTGGTAGGGCTTGGCAGGGGGTAGTAGGTACAGGAAACCCCGTTCCTCTGCGACCAGTGGTACGGCCGCTACAGCCCCTCAAAGTTTTGGGATAAGCTTATCCCACCGACTTTGGAGGGCTATATCTCCGGTCCTATTGGCCGCACGAAGTCGGGGCTTGGAGTGGAGGTGATGGGAGGGTGAGTTCTTGCCGAAGCAATCTCAAAATTGGAGGGTTGAATTCAACCCGTCCAATTGGAATCCCACCCTATAGGATTTGTAGACGGGAATGGGGGAGGGACTTGATTCGAAGTCCCGGTCTCCCAGGCCCGATATTGACCGAGATACAGGTCTTCCAAATTTTCCAAAATGGCCGAACCAAGATGGCCGACCAATTTTTGGAAAATTATATCTCGGTCAATTCGCGTCGCAGAAACGCGGGGATTTCGATGCCGGGATGGGGGGGCGAAGATCTACCAGGATCCCGTTCCAAATTTGGATTCTAAAATTTTTGGGTCCGAAATTTTTGGAAATTTTCAAATTTTGGAAATTTTGAATTTTGATTTCTGAAATAGCAAGAGGGGGGCACGCTTACATGTATATTTAAAACCGTTTTTAAATCGAATAAGAATCGAATGTGTGCATATTTGCAGTTGGAAACTCGTCTGGGCGGAGTGCGTGGGCCGGATCGGTCTCGTTGCCGTCTCTCTCTTTTCTCGCCGGATCGGGGAAAGGTGGATGTGCGAGAGAACTGGGAGAGGTGACCTCGGGGTGAGAGGAACCTGGGAGGTGCCCTGAAACGGGGAGGAGAGTTCCCTTCGCTTCGCGGTTGCGGCGCTGTCGGGATCTGGCGAAAACCGTATTGGCGGTCAGAGAGATGGCCCAGCTGTCTCCAAATGTTGAACAACGCGGTCTGAAACAGCTTGCAGACCTCGTCTAATAAGACCACGGGTCGGTATCCCGAAGGGGAGTCCACCGGTTTACCCTCCTTTCTTAACAGGACTAACTTCCCTCGCTTCCAGTATCTGGGGAAGCGGCCCTGTTGAAGGCTGCCCTGTTGAGATCTGATGAATGGGCCCAGGTGCTTCAGCGCTAGTTGAGGGTCTTACCGGGGTCTCCGTCAGGCCAGGTGATTGTGACGAAATACTGTGTTAACGAGATAAAACTTAGAATCGAAATAATTAAATTTAAAGTCAAAGGCGTAACGCCTGCCGAATTATGGTAAGTATGAGTGTGTTTGCTATGATTTTACCATCAGGATCAGGAAAATTTGCTATCTGTTGATAGAAATACTTAAAGGATACTGTGCGTTATTCATTAAGCCCTGATTAATTTCAAATAGATATCAAAGAATATAAAAAAGGATCAATGTGTCGTGACTTAGTAAAATAATTCTTATGCGTGTTTTAAGGATCTCATTATGCCTAGGTACTACTCGTTAATTAAATAACACGCTAGCTTAAAATTTCATACTTCCCTCGCTGATTCGCACGATGCCCAGCTGCACTATGGACCAAATCCGTGCGCACCGTCTCAAAAATCTGTAACTTTGTTGCTAATCAAGTAATAAATTGAAATTTTGGACATGGTTACCTCTAATGTATAGTATAGATAATCAAATAATAATATACTTATCATTAATTTATTAACATATAATGTATAAAAATTAAACACATTTTTTTTGAGTTCAAAAGCTAAAAACAGGATTCCTAATAAAACTACGGTTTGCTATATATATATATGTAGGTATAAATCTCATTAACCGTCATAGACACACAGTTAGTATTTTCACAGATATATAACTAATAACTATTATCACTATAAAAACAAATACTAAAACTGTGTAAAATGTATAATAGGGGTTGAATAAAATTACCAATATGTACTAAAATTCAAAATTGTTTATTTTTATATCCTATTTTATAAATTTATTGAATCAAAATAGTTACCATTATTCATCACATACATTGCTGCCATCAAATGGGAAGGTCATTTATGCCTTTGCGATAGAACTCACTCTGAGGATCTAGACTGCACAAACTGTGTAAAAGCATTTTGTATACTGCCTCCATATTGCCTCCTGGGAAGAAAACTTCTTGCCACGTAGATAATTGTTAAAATCACGAAAACAATGGTAGTCCGTTGGAGCAGGGCCTGGCGAATACAGAGGATGACGAATGGTTTCTAACTGCAGTTCCTGAAGAGTCAAAACGGTTTCTCATGCTGTATGAGGTCTCGCGTTGTCATGGAACAATAATGGTGAAGATCGATTCATGGGTCGGGGCTATTTAACCGCTAGTTTTGCCAACATTGTACGGAGTTCGGCACAATAGACATCTGACGTTATTGCTTGACCAGATCGGAGAAAACTATAGTGAATAACACCATGCTGAGACCACCAAACAGTTACCATTACCTTTTTATTGGTAAGTTTTGTTTTAGGACACTTTACGGTTATCATAAAGAATCCACTTTTCACCATATGTCACAATTCGATCCAATATTCCTTCATGTCTGTACCGATTCAACAAGGCAACACAAGTTTCAACACGCGTTTCTTTCTGCAGATCAAGCAAATCACGAGGCACCTATTTTTCGTTTTTTTTTTTATTTTATTGACTTATTTGCGTCAAATCACGCAAATAAGTCAATATTCTGGGTAAGGTGACGTTAAACCAAGCCGCTAATTTCTGGGTAGTTTGACTAAGATCAGCTTCCACCATCTCTCTTAATTCATCGTTATTCACCTGTGGGGACAGTCTTCCTCGTGGCTCGTTCTTCAAGTCGAAGTTTCTATCACGAAAGCGTTTAAATCAAAATCGTACGGTGCGTTCATTAGCAGACGCCTCTCCAAACGCAATATTGACATTGCGGGCAGTTTCCGCCGCGTTACTTCCGCGTCGGAACTCGTATTCAAAAATCACTCGAATTTTCGAAGTATCAATCTTTCTTGTTTAAGTTGAATATCAAAAACAATTGAAAGTCGATATTCAAATGTTTCACATTTTTTTAAAGAAGCATTTTTTTAAAACCTCAAACCATGAAAATTCTATGTCAATTCAAGGAATGCATTACAATAAGACGGAATTTACATACTTTAACCCCAAATATTTAATTCCCACACAACAAACGTGATTTTTTTGCTTATTTGCCGTACGGAATCCTTCGTCCACGAATCCGACTCGAACTTAGCCGGTTTCATTTTTATTCTTATGTATGAACAATGATAAATGATGAATATAATTTATTTAAATCATAAGATTACGACAATATAATACTAAGAAAGGAAATTATGTTAGAGAAATATTTGTAATAAATTATTTAAATATCTAACGCCTGTCAGATATTATAGTTTGCTCTAAAAGTTCCCTAAAATTAGAGTCTGATGATTATAAAGTAGGTACATTTTTTGCATATTACATAATAATCATCAGACAATGAAAAATGTATTCGTTGGTATCAGTTCTAGAACATTTTGTAATTGTTCATGCAGTTAATTCTTACAACGATAAAACAATATTTATCACTTCAGGCCATAACATGAAAATAAAAAATAATTCTTTTGTCTATTTGATCACTCAACCTAAACCAACGCTTGTGGTGTTATTTAACAAGTATGAGGTGTTATTTAATAATATAAAATAAAAAAATAACATAATTTTCGTCACAGAAATAATGTTTCTTTCTAATTATTTGGCCCAACGAAACATTTTGTCATCTCATTTTAAGGGGGGGCAAATTCGCGCAAAAAACATGCCTAATTTTCTACGTAATGTGCTCTATAAAACAAAAGTTAAATAATGACACAAGTCAGCGTTGCCAGACGTCCCGATTTAACCGGGAACGTCCCGATCTTAAATCGAAATCAAATGTCCCGCGCGGGACAGGTTTGGTCCTGCTTTCGGGGATAACTCGACCGTGGGTGCAGTGTACTGAGGAAGCTTTCGGAAAATCTATTTTTGAAATGGTTTTGATCCATAGTGCGCCGCCGGCCGTCGCAATACGAACACTAGCGATGGCATGACTATTATGTTTCTGTACGAGATTTATTCTCTAGCTCTCTCTGATTTTTGTTACGCTTGTTTTTGTTGAGTTTTTATTATAATAATTTTCACTTT